TTTATACTTTAATCAAYATAATATTATATTTTTTAATTATTATTTTTTTGTCAAAAGCTACTATATTTTGTAAAGTTTTCTTTTCTTTCGTGAAAATTTTATGTTAAAAAAAATTAAAACGAGAGATAACGTAACAGTGAAGAAAAATATTGTCTGTCATATTATAAGACATGATATGCAGTAAATTGTTAATATTATTTTACAACTAAACGTCACCAAAATTGGCATAAATTTTTTAGAGATGAAAAAATTGATTGATTAGTCATTGTTGCCATTAGTTATTTTTTGACTCAAAAAATTTATTTATTAAAATATTAGTGAAAATAACAAATTAAAAATTGATCAATATTATTTTACCGGTAAATAATTATATAACCTGTTAGGTCAATGGTATACATATTTATAGAAAATAAGTCAAATTATAGCCCATATGGTAATTCATCAATAAGTCATCATAGATGTGGTAGTGATGTTGTTTCTGCTGCTTCAAGCCCTGCACATCACCATTAGGTTTAAAGATATATATCTACCGTTTGCTGATTAATGCAATACAAGAATCAGATGCAATATACCAGTGCTGTCTCTCGTTTTCACTCAAAACATATATACTGTATAAGCCTTAATGCATGTGAAAAGTTGAAGCGATCGATAAATGTTATGCTTCTGTGACCAAACTTTTTTGTATTATATATAAATTTATATATATATATATATATATATATATATATATATATATATATATATATATATATATATATATGTGTGTGTGTGTTATAGCTCACTGTAGTTATAGTCATATATGATCATATATCTATATGTATACTCACCGAAAATGCCATACTATAACCAACAACGATAATATACAGTACACATACAATACACTTATATTATTGGTAGTATTCATACTGTGTCTACAATAACTAGACATTAAACAGTACGGTATATACCAGTGTTGTTGATCTAAATTTTTTTCTATCGAAATTAGTGGCACTAACTTTGACTATACATTTATATACAGCACTACTGGTATAATAATATAACTACAGTAGTTTTATACTGTATGTTATACATTATATTGCTCTATATTAAGATTATTATTTTTTGTTAGTTAGTGTATAGTACACGACTGTATCGTTAAAGGTTGAAATACATTAAAAAAATAGTTTTTGAGCTCTTTTTTATGATTTGGTGTATGACTCCTGATATTGTCTGTCAGATATATATATATATATATATATATATATATATATATATATATATATATATAAGTGAAAACAGGAAGCGAATGACAGAAATTTATATATTTTTGTACATTATTTGACTGTTGATTACTATATAAAACTATTGGCGCAATGTTATTGAATGGCACAAAAATTATTGCCAATAATTTCACTTGTTTTTTATGCAACACTATTTCCACTTCAATATTTTGTTTATAAAACAATTGAAACAAAGATAAATTATTTTTTTGGCACTAATTTTCTTATATTTTTATTACTTACTTTTTAATCCATAATATATTTGTCCTTTATTTCACTATTATTTTCACCGATAATTTGGCTAATAATTGTTTGTAGTTTGAAATTATAAATTATATATATATAATAGAAAAACAAATTGATTCTTAAATTTAATCTAAAAGCAATATCACAAAAAATAAGATGATTATATTTATTTAATATTATAACAATGTTTTTATTTAATTAATCAAAAAACAATAAAATTAGTTTTAGACAAAATTAATTAAATATACATTTAATTTATTACTGTACATGAAATATATAATATATATTTTCCTTTATTATTAATTTTATTAATATTCACATTATTGTTATTAAATTTTTGTTGTTTTGTCTGTTTTTTATTAATTATATTATACTGTATTATTAATTACCAATATCAACTATTAATTTAACAAACAGTTACTTATATTTTTTATATTATTTTCAATTAAAATTTGATTTAATATCTTTTAAAGACTAACTGCACTGTATATATACAATGAAATAAACTTTAAATCAGTTTATTATTATTTTATACATAAATATATTATATTACTGTTTCATATAATTCTAATATTTTTTAAGTTATTTTACATAATTTACATGATTCATATACATAAAAATTTACATTACATTATAATTGTAATAAATATAAATTTTATTAATTGAGCATTTTTTCAATATATTTATATAACATTTCAGAGAATATTATATAACTTTCCATATAAAAATTTCATAAATTATTAATATATATATATATTTGAAATTTTGTTTTATTTTGGTAAAATATAAAAGTAATGCTTAATTTTAATAAAAAGTAATTTCTCGTATTATTAATAAAAATAAAACCTTATGTAATATTCAAAGTATTATGTAATCATTTCCACTATTTCTGTCTCCCATTCATTGCCTTTCATTTAATACCTTTAACAGTATATCTCTAGATCTGTTGTTGTCTTTTGAAATTACTTTTTAGGTTATTTTACTTTTTTTGCAAAAATTAAATAAAAAGGTTTATCTGCTTTTTGTAATACACATAGTATTTGTTGCCATAAAGAATAAGTTGAATAAAATAAAATTAATGCATTTGTTATGTTTTTATCATCATATGTCAAAGTGTATGTATTTGAGTGTGTGTGTGTGTATTGCCCACACAAAATTTGAGTTGCTAGCTGTTACAAAACAATTTTCAATTTAAAATTTATCCATCATATATATATTACTATAGCTAATATTATCAATGGCTACTTCATCTATGATACTATATTTCTTTGAGCCCATCATTCCCTCCAACAAAACCCTTGAGATGGTTGATGTGCTATACATTAGCCCTAAAAATAACTAACACATGACATCATATGCTAGAAGATATTATATACAGTACTAATAATACAGTATAAGGGGTACATTTGCTGGTATTTGATTACACAACTGATATAAAGCCCCCTTACACTTGTATGCACTGGTTATGGTTCAAACCCTGGTCATGTTGTTCCTCATTGCCTTATTAATGCATATACAGTACACACTATACCTAACATATATGTACCGTAATATTGGTCTCGTTTTTAAAAAAAAAATAAAATTGTCTGATTTATCACAAAAATAATTGCAATAATAAATATATTAAGTTTTAAAAATACTGAAAAACATTATAAATACGCGGTTCACATATGGGCTGTTCATCACAACCCTAACAACTCATGTGGTGTTAGACATTAAAGTGAAATTAGTTTTTGCTTATTATTTCTCTATACGTTGTTTTTAATTTATTTTTTATATTAAATATTTCATTTATTTTACAATATATAACTTTTATATTAACTTTTGTTGTTATAATAAAATCCATTACTTTTTTCTTAAGTTATATAACTTAAATTCAATGATATAATCGTAATATTTGGTGTGTTATGTAAAAGTGGGCTAATTCTCAGTACTCGACGTGAATGTTGACTTCAAAGACATTGTCTTTGCTATTAATCCTGAAAGACATTCACTCATTCATTCATTCATTCATTTATTTATTATGAAATATACATTATATTCAGTAAATTCATAATAGTTTAGTGTCTCACATATCCTGAATAGTCAACAACAACCCTATTATATAAAGTATATATATTTTTACAATGAAATGGTATATCTAAAAGCCAATGCCTATTAATAATTAAAGCATACATTATTCAGAGACACGCATACATAGCTTATCCCTATTCCTATAGTTTTAAGCTCTTTATATATACTGTATATAAAAGATATTTAAGAGATTTACTTGTTGTCTATAAAGTCTCAATATTATGCAATTCACTTGTGTATAACATTATATTTTAAGTTCACTATAACTGTAAATACCTGTATTCAGTAAATATAACATATATTTATATAGTTTATGTMAAAAWAAAATTTATTTGCTACCAGTGCTACTTTACTAGCACTATCATTGCACAACATATACACACAAAAATAAATTACATAAAATATATTGATACATTGAAAATCTAAATATATATACTATGTATACATTATTATCAATATTTTTTAGTTGACTGAATGATTTTCATTTAAACATATATGAATTATAACCCAAAAATAGTTTCACAAAATAGTAGACGTTTTTGAATACTTATTATTTTGCATAAAATTTCACATTTTGTTTATTAGACAAAAACTTTTTTATTAGTATTTTAAGCAGACTCTTGTTATTATTGAGGCAAGTATTATGTATAACACAAAAYATAGCAGACAATTTTAAAGTCAATTTAGTTATATTTGTGAACTACAAAAAAAAGTATATCTAATCAGCAAAAATATATTAAAACTTTATTTTTCTTGATTTTAGTAGTGACAAACTTTTATGACAACTTRTATATATATAGCATTATATAACAAAATATACAGTATATATTGTATTTTTTATATGATATATATAAAAGCAAATATACGGTATAGAGATAGTAATGCATATTTCTTGGTTTCCACATATGTATAGTATACGTAATCAAACAATAATAGTATTTCATAGACCATCATATACTGTATAATACAGTACACAACATACAGTGTACATACAATTATATCAACTCTAGTGTTTGATATTTAATTTCAATTTTCAAAGACATGTCAATACTGTATGAAAAAATTCACTATTTTTCTCATTCAATATTAATAACTATGTCATTCTCTGGTTATTAATAATAGACACTCATATACAGTACATTATACCATATAGTATGTGAAATCTCAATGATATTCAAGGGTTTCAATAAACTACTTTCAATCAGCAATGGTATTCATAGATTTTTCAGCTATTGTCATATTTTTAGCCTTTCAAACATTGAATATATATCTATAGTTATATTTTTTATCATATAACTTTTTATATAATAAATGAATCAAATTAACACAATAAAATAAATAAGCAAAAAATAATTGTAATAAAATTAATTTTTACTAAAAATAATTTTTATACACATAAAAAGTGGTTATAAATTCTCTGTTATTTCATTATAATTAAACTTAATTATATTTTTTTATTACTTATTGTTATTAGTATGTTGTTTTCGTTTAATTACAATTATTATCATATATATAATAAAACAAACAAACAATAATCAATAATCAAAATTTATGAGTCTCTTAACACTGATTAGATGACTGGCTGGTGATCTGTTGATGCTTTTGCCATAACATTAGATTTAGATTAAGATTTGGTAATTGCATTATCTTTTCGAGTCCGACAGTCGTTATTCGGGAACAGCCGTAGAGATCAATGTGTGTTAAATTGACTAAATGCTGGCCAACAGCGCACAGACCTTTGTCAGTAACTTTGTTGCACTGGCCTAAGTTGAGCACTTGTAAACCGGTCAGTGTCCGCGCAATTTTTATGAGACCTTCATCGGTCACACCCGAACACGCGTTAAGACTCAGGCTCTTTAGATGAATCAGTTTTTGTGAGATATGCACTAATCCCTGGTCACCAATCTTATCACTACTAAAACTCACGTCAAGCACTTGTAGCTGACGAGCCGTACCATCGCATAGATGAGCGAGACCTGTGTCTGTGATGTTGTCACAACTTCTTAAATTGATTTCCCTTAGGCTGAACATCGACGACAAATGTTTGAGACCATAGTCGGTGATCGTCGAACAGAAACTCAAATTTATTGATTTCAGTTTATGTAGTTTTGAAGCGATGTATCGCAGAGAGTCGTCACAAATTTTTTGACAGTCCTGTAAACCGAGGAACTCAAGTGTTAAGATACCGGCGCCTATCGACTCTGTTTGTTGAGTGCTACCAGAGATGTGACCGATGCCGGTGTCCGATATATTTCGACAGCTCCGGAGGTTGAGGTATTTGAGGCGTTTTAGTGATTTTGATAGATGAAGAAGTCCTGCATTGGTTATGTTGGAACAGCCACTCAAGTCCAGTGTTTCTAAGTTCCTCAAGAACTGACTGATCTTATCGAGACTGTCGTCAGTAATTGGTTTACACATACTTAGGTTGAGCTCAGTTAGTGTATCGACGGGACGTTGCAATGCATTGGTCAGCCACTCGTCCGTCAAATTATAACAACCGATAAGATTAAGACTTTCGAGGTTTGGCACTCCGTTGACCACTTCTCGTACCGATCGACGTATGCTTAATATCTATACAATTCATTGATTGCCATTATGTAAGAAAATATATATATTTATTAGTAAAGTATCTAATATATCATTAAAGTTTTCACATATCTTTATTGTTTATGGTATTAAAATTTTGAATATTATTTTTAATTTTTATTTTTTCTTGTTTTTATTTCATTACTATTTCAACAAAAATGTTTCTAATAAATTATTAAATATTTTAGTCTAATTTAAATACACCTGTATTTCTAAGCTTTAGCTATAATTGCAATAACAATCATAAACGAGGAAAAGTTGCACTAAAATTATCTCAAGATTTTCATGTGAACTGCTATTTATTGCTTTCAACAAATGAGAAAAATGAAAATCTAAAAAAAGTTTTACCTTTTAATGTCTATATTCACTGGTTAAACAATATATAGTATTTATACAGTATAATATATATTTATATATATCTGTAATTATAATATCCATAAATAAAATTTTAAAAAACATAAATATTGTACATAATATAAGTACAATATTACTTAAAAACTTATTTACGTCGAGTGAGAGTAATAAAAATAATAAAAATATTTTTTATGTGTTTCGATATATGAGTTATAAGTCAAGCATAAAATGAGTGAATGACAGATACCTTAAAAATGTCTAACTTTATATACCATATAAATGAATATAACGTTATATATAAATTAATATAATGTCTATATCGCACCTGAGAGTAATATTTATTTAGTACTCAAATATTAAACTAAAAAACTAAACTAAAATAATATATATATATTTCATATAAATTTTATACTGCCTTTTGCTAACTATCACGACTATGTGTTGTGAGTGAAATGAATAGAGAAGAAAAATCTTAACAAATCATATAATAAAAAACAACTTTTGATCAAATCTTAATAGTATAATAATAAAGCATATATAGTATGATATTGTTTGTGTGTGTAATATAAAATTTATAATATAAATATATACWATATATATATATATATATATAAATAATATACACACTGTTTGTATGATATTTGTATTGAATAGATAAATAGCCTAAATATCTAGTATATCGTGAATAATAGAGAAAGCATATGAATACATATAAAAACAACACAACATTGAAACAACAAAATATCAGAACAAATAATCCTTAAAATCAAAACAACATATTTTGCAAACAGAAGAGAAAAAAGAAATAAAAAGAGAGAAGAAAAACAAATAAGAAAACAAAAGAAAAAAGTTTCTGAAAAACTCTTTTTTTTTTTTTCTTTAATAATTTATATTATATTATAAGAAGAAAATTATAATAAATATCACACATAAATATATATAAATTTATCGATAATATTATATAAAGTATGTTTGGATGTTAAATGTGGATAATATTTATGACATATTTAAAGCTATTTTTCGTCTCATAAAGCAATTCAAGTGATTTTCATATGTTGTTGATCTCAAAGTTGTTCATAATTTTTGCTATTTTTCAGACATTTTTTACTAATAAAAATTAAAACCTATTTTATATAATATTTTTTGGTGTTTGTAAGCTTTAAAAATATCAAGGTTTTAGATGCTATGGTTATCTGTGTTTATTACCTTATTTATTATAAGTGTGTTTTGTAATGTTATGTATTTATACAATATTCAATATAATGTATGTTTATTATAGATATCATATATATGATAGTAATTTGTGTGTTGAGGACATACCTGTATTTTTTTGATGCCTCGAGTGACCAGACTCTCGAAGAGTGCGTTATGCAGATGACTATTCAATGGACATTCACAACGTCTTTGTTCACATTGTCTCAGATGTATCTTAGCCTCGACACCCTTCCAGACTGACTTATGATAACAGGCATCCCTCCACGTCCGACACACTTGTGCGGCACTACCCTTGTCTCTGACGTCGAGATAGCCGAAAATGAGGGCCAATATCTCGGGATAAAGGCATGAGATGTGAGCTGTCGGCCGGTTGTGCCAAATGACATAGTTTTGGTGTTTGTTTCGTCGACTCATATCAATGAGTGATCAGTCAATTAAYTTATGGTGATCTTAGACACTCACATATAAAGAGGACACCAATACTTTTTAACAAAACAATTTCTACACAATATTAATGATAACACATATATTTWWWAAAAATATTTTAACAAAATTTATTTTAACTCTATTTTTATAACTTAAACAAATTGTCAAAAAATTATTTCAATACATTTGTATTTATTGTTCAATAAATTGTTGAATATTTTAAAAAAATCAATTTGTTGTTCAAAACATGTGATACACTCTCTCATTATTTACATATTAAAAAACTTAAGAAAGTTATTCAAAAACAAAAAATACCAAAACTTTGTTGAAAAATCTCTTAAATTTCAAACCAATTCAGACTTTAGTCTTATTTTTGAAAACAAAATACATTTATTAAAATTGTTTGACGAAGAAGTAAGAGATGGTATGTATGGTATCGTATATATTGGTGTGTGTTTTGAGAGAGTAATGAGAGAGACATAAGAGGAGAGCCCTAACCAATGGTTGATATCACGCCTCTCTTTCTCTCCCTATATATATATATACACATTGAAAGCACACATGCATTGCATTCACGAAATGAGGTATAATATTAAATACAGGCTTTATATCTGTATGTGTTATATACAACAGCAGTACACTCGACATACAGTACTAGTGTTCACATTCTAGTGCTGTGCCTCACACTCGGCGTTATATACAAACTGAGAGTCTGTGTATAGCAGTTCCCAAACTTGTCTGCCTATCTGTAGTATATTTGCCAACATTTTCCAACCACTCTCTCCAGTATTCACATACCAACCCATATGTATGAAATGAGATCGTCTAAGCCCTTGAGGCACTGTTGCAGTTGCAGTACATTTAACACTACCTCTCTCTCTCTCTCTCTCTCTCTCTCTCTCTCTCTCTCTCTCTCTCYCTCTCYCTCTCCTAATGTATGTGCCATAGTTGGTGCACAGACACTGTACCACAGATAACTCTACAGCAGTACAACTATTGTTGACTAAACTCTATACTAGATGTTATACTCCCAGTTCTGCAGGAATTCATGTTTAGGATAACCGAACAAATATTCATTTAATTGAATATAAAATATATTTAATAATGAATGCAATAATTTTTTATTATAAAAATATAAATTAGTTTATTAAAAATAGTTATTTCTATAATATTAATGTATTTTCATTATTACATTAAATGTTAGGTACTATTAATATATTTAAATTAATTATATAAATATATACAAATTTTTTAAATATTGAAAATATTATTATACATAAAAATAATAAATTTTATAATAAATAATTATTTATGTAATAATAATAATAACATGTAAATTGATATTTGGGAGAGTGTTTGAATCGGAAGGGGTGGGACACCAAAAATGTCTAAAACTCGGACGTCTAGTTTGCACTGAGAATACTGTATATTCATGTATTAGATTTGCCTTTATATGTATATTCTCTCTCTCTCTCTCTCTCTCTCTCTCTCTCTCTCTCTCTCTCTCTCTTTCTTTCTTTCTCTCTATATTGAGTAGAATCGTCTATACATATATATTGTATGGAATGGTATGGTTTTATGCCTTCCCTCGGTTTACAGTATAGCCTGTGACTGCCTTCAAGCGTCACATATATAGACAAGTTATGGTTGGCTGAGTTCAATATCTATGTGCCGGTGCGGGTGAGCCAGTGATGCTTCGTTTAGTCCTCTAATACCTTTGCTATCAGTTCCCAAAAACAAGAAAATACTGCAAAACATTAAAACCTATGGAGATATTTACCGTGAATTCTAATGGTTTTAATTATAAATATATACCGTATATAACGTATAAATAAGTTTATATAAAACACATTCATTTTATATTTAAATCAATTCAATAATTAATTCACAGAATTAATATTATATTAATTAATTTTAGTATTTATAATAATATATACTGTAATATATTCATTGATATAATGAATATTTTTATGTTTGCAATATTTTTTGACAATTCATGTGAATTATATTTTGATAACATTTATTTGTTATCATTGTCTGATATAAAAAATAATTATTGTCTTTACCTTTTGAGACTTATCATAAAAATAAATATTTTTGTTTTATATAATATTTTATTTATAAGATACTATATTTGTTGAATTCATATAAATATATTCTAAGCTAAGCTAAAAATTTAAAAGTACTGCAAAATACTATACTGTAATATACTGTATTAGGTTAACATAAAAAACAGTATATATTTCGTATTTTTCATTAATATAACTTTATATTTTTTGTTTAAACACTATACATACAGTATATAAACTATAGGTGCTGTATATACTGTATAAATAGTAATTATTTTTATTTTCATTAACATTAGTAAATGTTAATAATATATACAAAACATTGGAAGACATGTACAGAAAATATTAAAATTCAATAAGACATTTACGTAATGTAAATCCATTATCAAACAAAAAAGTCTGAAATAACATTTGATTACTATTTTTTACATCGCTTTCCTTAAAATAATAGTTATAAAAATGAACATTTTATTAATCAATTTTCATATATTTATAAGAAAAAACCATAATTGATAACAAAATAAACAAAAATATATTAATCTATTAAAAAGGTTGACTTCAAATAAATATTGAATATAAGTTTTACCGGAATTTATATAAAATTTTGTGATAACACATAAAAATGTATTTCATTAGCCATTTGGCGCCGACATGTACTTCAATAGTTGATTGCATATATATATATATACTGTATATATGCATATATGTCGAGACTTGAAAAATCAGCATATATTGAGAAATAACAAAATTTTTGCTCATATTTTTGTGGCCAAAAATTGTTTATCAGTTGAGAGAAAGACAACAAAAATGAATCGGATGTTTAGCCAGAGGCTAGTTATCAAGGGTGGCCTCTAAACACTCATGTTTGACACATGAAAAAAGTTCCCTCCCATTGATTGGCATCATTGTATAGCGTATTATGCCTTTTATAATTTTTTAAATATTTTTTTCAATACTCATATTTATAGAAATAACTTTTATTTTTATTCAATGTATTGTTATTTAAAAATGTTATTTTCTTTAGAGACATCAATTTATATATTTATATTGTATACAGGCATATAAAAATTATCATAATAAAAAATATTAATTAATAATAAAATACAATTTGAATATTAGTTAAATCAACTTAACATATTGAAACATATGATTAGCTAAATAATAAATTATTAATAATTTGTTATTAAATAACGTTTATTGATATATATATAGAGTATAATTGTTTCCATGAATAACTAAATATTAAAAATGATTAAAACTTATTGTTATAAATAATATAAATTTATAGTAAACAAATTATAAATATAAAATAATTAAAAAATAAATACATTTTAATAAATAAATAATAAAATTAACAAAATTTTAATACTTTAATTTAAATTTTAACTTATTTAAACTATTATAAAACACATTTCAAACATACAGTAGGTTTATCAATATGAAAGTATTTAAAAAATAATAATTTGCATCATAACTAAAAATTAAATAGCTAATTCAATTGATTAGCTTATTAAATTTTAAATTTCAAATTAAAATATTAAATTTTATAATGATATTATTCAACATATTTATCAAATATATTTTGTTTTTAATTTTATAAATACAGTATTTGCAATGTTATACTTTAAATTAAAAATCTATCGATATATCGACATTATTCAATATATATATATATATATATATATATATGCGATTGAATCAATTTTTCAAATTTGAATATACAGTATATTATAAACTAATGCAATAGTAATATAATTTAGTACACAATACCCGTCCTCTAGTGTTTGGCGAACAAAACAATTGATATTTTTGTGATAACTTTTATTGAGTAGTTGTTTGTGAAGACCATAGATGTCGATCATTGTTGACATTAATATCATTAATCAATGATCACATTATTGCCATCTATTATATTGAAAGTAAAAATAGTTTTGAAATTTTATTGGATGTCAGATAGTGGTGCCGACCGCCCATTCAAACACAACTTACAGTTTTTTGTCGATCATATCGTTGAACTGTAAGCACTCTGTGGACAGACAGTTGCCGAGAGCTGCATCCAGGAGTCAATTACCGCATCACATATATAGTTATAAACTATAGTTATATGCATATTGTATGATAATTATGTAATTAATAGTTTTTTTAAATTAAAAAGTGTGAATATTTAGACCGAAAAAATTCACTGTTTAACCGATAATTGCTTTAGTGTTAATCTATAAAAAAATAATAATTTAAAATATAATAAAAAGAAAAATTGCTGAAGTTTTGGATATATTGTGTTGAATGATGAGTGCAAATCAATTGGGATTACTTTTATTCACATTATTCCTATATATTCCATGTGTTGTCACCGTTTGGTGGTAAGGATTGAACTAATTTTTTTAAAAAGTGTATAACATTTAATTTAATGATAAAATTTAAATAATTGTTAGTATATAAAAATTTTAATTTTGTTATTTTGAAAATTATTAMGTTAAATAAATAAATTTATTAAATTATTGAAATTTCTAAAAATTAATTTTTTAAATATTTAKTGAATATAAATAAATAAACTATTTAGTTTTAAATCAATAATATTAAAATGAAATAAGATATCATTAGAAATATAATTTTATCAATTAATTTACTTTTTTGTAATTAATTTTGTTGTTTTTGTGAAATTTAAATCCACTTTCTAAATAATATAGCAATGTAAAGTATTTACATATTTTATGTTTTATTAATGAAAATAATGCTTAAAATTTCATTCATTACATAAAACTATTTGTTATTACAAAAAATATATATATTTCAATAGTTAACATAAATACACATTTACTATATAAATCTAAATACAAATTTAAAGCTTTTCTTTAAAACGAACCGCACTTTTATGTCATAATTGCATACCTTTCCACTCACTTTATTATATCAATTGTATGTGTAATATAACATAAGTTTTATAACTTAAAAAAATAAAATATCATTTATAAAAAAATAATAATTGTCAAAATTTAGTTAATTATTGATATTATTATTGGTATAAGTGGTTATTAGGTAAAAATAATAGTCATTATTGTTAATTTAGTAAATTTGTCAATTATGTTATACATTAGATAAAGTCATCTCTTATTTAATAAATCTTATAATTTCTTTCTCTATTTCTTTCTCTTCACTAAACATTGTCTTAAGTTTTTAAACTGCTATTTAATGTCTCAAAAACACAAGAAAATATGATAAATTGTTTTAAGAAAACATTTAGTTTGATGTTTGAGTCGTTTTTTATTTTCTTCAATGTTTTTGACAGAATATAATAAAATAATATATTAATATAGATATAGATATAGTAAAAATAATAATATTTTTGTTTATTACTAAGTTTTATGTTTAACTATAATTTTCAAACACATTAATAATACTGTTTTAATAAAATACATATAATTGAATCACTGATTTAATAAAATACATATTTATTTGTATTTTAAGCAATAAAAATTAAATCTATTATATTAATCATTTTAGTGTTAATGTGTTTTGCCTATATATATATATATATATATATATATATATATATATATTTATATTATATATATRTTATCATTTAATTTTAAAATTACTGGTTGCATATAACAATTTGTTTTTTATATGACTAAAATTATCTTTAAAACAATAAATTAAAAATAAGGTTTATTTAAATTTAATTAGGTTTTGTCGTAACTTTTTTAAATGTTGTTTTTAAAACATTATAAGTGTATTATAAATTATTATAAATGTTGCAAAAATATTTTTATCATTTTTTATGACAAATAAATATCAGTCCTAATTAATAGCATATTTAAAATTATATTATTATCATTTAAGATTGTTTATATGTTTAACCTGTTTTACAATTGATCTGACAATTAACATTTGGACTTTAAATTAGTTTAAAAAATTTATTTCATATATATATATATATATTATTATAAAAACGATAAATGTTATATGTTTTGGCATAAATAAGTTTATATATATATAATATATTAACATAATTTTCTGGTCCATTGTTGTTGGTCTTGTTGTTAACATTGGAAGTCCTCTTTTAAGGTTTTACACGCCGTATGTTTATRTATAGTATATTTATGGCAAAAATAAAGGAGTTGAGGAAAGGTGTTTAACAACACAGGTCTACACTTTTTTTGTTACTCTATTGATGGCTAATTTGAATCACAACTCTATTTAAAGACTCAAAATATATTTGGTTAGAAAAAAGTTTTTATGAATTTAAACATTAAATCCAATGACGAGAAAATGTTTTTTAAATTTTTATATATGGGTTGAGAGTCACSCTGACAGTGCACAGACCCTCTGCCATATCGAGATACTGTATATATCTATATATCTCTATATATTATATTTATAATGGTGTAGATCTCCGGTGACCTCCCGGTGTCTGCCCAGACATTGAATACATGAATTGTGAGTCACAATTAGTACTACAATCAGTAATGTGTTGCTTTAACAACACAAAAGTAGCCCAACATTTGTCTGATTTATGCCATTGATTGTATGCACACACCATTCACTCGCCCCTTGCAATACCCCATATATTCAATACCCATTGAGCTAATCAATTAAAATCATTTCAACCATATTTTTATGTGCTATTTCTCTATTAAATCTCAAATCGTTTTTTTCAATGCTGTTGTTATAATTAACATTATAAATGATTTATTGATTTGAAACATATTTTTTCTTTTCCACAATCAAATGAGATGAGACTTATAATAATAATAAAAGTTTTTCTTATTATAAAACTATAGTTTTGTTTTTTTTTTATATAAAATTATTATCGTTATTATGTTCTTCTTCTTAAAATATTTTTTGTATTTTATATTTGTCTTTCTATAAATATAATCAAACTATTTAATCATTATTATTGTTTTTGATAGATTTGAATTGAAACTAACTATGAAATCCTTTTTATTATATTTTCATGTAATAAAGTGTTAGTAATGAGGCTTTTAGTGTTTTTTGGTTTAGTTTCTGTTGTTGTTGTTGTTGACTACTTATTAATTTACAAAATATGTGATTTTTTTATACACGTCTGTAATTTAAAATATGAATTGTTTTTATTMWAAACCTAAATACTTTATTTAAAAATTTATTTATTAGGGTTGTTAAATACTAAAATGATTAAAAAAATATAAACTGTGCAAACAAAACAAAGATTAGAAAATGCCAAATACTAAATTATCAGTTGACTAAAATTTATTAAATCTATATGAAAATAATGACAATTTTTAAAAACTAATGGTTAAATTTTGAATAATAAGAAATTAATAATTATTACATTATTTCATGATATAAATTTTAATTGAATAATTCAATAAAACTAATATACACCTAATAGTTATTTAAGGTTAATACAATATATCAATAGTTAATGTGAATTTAATATTATTTATACACTAATAATTAAACAGAATTTTTAGACGTAGAATACTATTTATTTTTTTATAAAACATTGATATTTACTAATAATTACTATATTTGTGGTCTAAATATATTTGTCTATTAGACTCACTAAAGGAATCATTTAACTACTGTAATAGCTTTCTGTTTATTTGAAAAATGGTTTTTTTTGGTTAGACTTCTTAAAAAATATATTTTCACACAAAAAAGTAAAAATATTTTTGTTAAACTTGAAAACACCATGAATTTATAAAAATTATAGAAAAAGTACACTTCTATTTAGTACTATTTAAATCAATTCAATATATTAGGAGTTGTCCCTTTTGGGTGGCAATAATACCCTATATAGCAATTAAGACTAAAAATATAACTATATATAAATACATTATACTGTAAATAGTATTTTTAAGTTTATATTTTTGTGGTCTACAATAGCAAAGATTTGAATCACGATTTTGAAAAAAACTTTAATACAGTGACAATTAGATTGTAAATTACAGAAATTATATATTTTAACAAACTCTCACTTTTTCAGTCTTAATTTAATTTGTTTTTGAGTTCATTAAAATGAGAATATAATGTATATAAATACTGTACAATGTTAGAAATTGTTGAATAATATATAAATTATTTTTAGTGATTGTGTGTTGAGATATAAATTTTGATTCAAACTTTTATATAGAAAACCACACCTTAAATTTTCTCCTCTAAATTGTATTGTATATTGTTATATTATTATAATATTTTTTTGATTTACTTTATTACATTCAATAAGGACAGGTAGGACCCAAATGCACAGACTAGATTATATATAAAGCTATGTGTGTGTGTGTGAGTGTATGTATGTGTGTGTTGTGTGTGTGTGTGTGCTGTGTGTATGTGTGTGTGTGTGTGTTTGTATGTATGTATATATGTGTGTGTATGTATAATATTGTATAACATTGTATATGTGTGTGTTTTGAAGTTTTATATAAGAATCRATAATTTCAACAAATTTTTATAAATGATATTGTATTTATACACTCAATTTATTTGTTATATTGAACCCAGAATTTGTTTTCATTTATTTGACTACCAATTCAATAGCGTGTTTGATATTATATTTATGAAAAATATTATACCTTTTTTGTATAACTGTTGTCATATTTGTTTTTTTGTGAATATTAACTATTTGAAGGGTATATGTTTGGCTACCTATTACAAGATGTTTTGCCAAACATATTGTTATATTTGTATTGTATGCATGAAACGAGAGGTCCAAAAAAAGAGGGGTCAGTTAAATATCGTATTTATGGGGACAACATATTTGTGAAGTGAAATCAACAAAAATGTGAATAATAGGACTACTATTAAGTGAGGACTTMTAACCAATAMTGACAACACAACACTTGAAAACACTGTTTTGACCGAYAGAGTGAAGTTCCCTAACATTTATTTATTACTATACAATTCAAACATATTATTAAAACATTTGAAATACACTCTCAGTTTTCCTAACAGTTTTACTCTTCATTTTTAATTCATTTTATATATTAATGTCTAAAATGAATGATGAGTTCTCGTAATTCAATTATAATTAATGACTTATATAATGGATATAATTTGGATAAATGACTGACCATTTTTATCATAATATATTGGATTTAAATCAATGATTATATGAAAATTAAATAAATAGTTTATTAACAGCATTTATCTGACTATTACATCCTATTATTTTATACACTAGGATTATTTGACATAAATAATTGAATAGCTAATAAATAATTCATAAAAAATTATCATAATGTCAATTGCATATCAATATTTAAAAAATATGTATCTTAKTTACAAACATTTTAGAGTACATTTAAAGTTTCTTTTAATAAAAACATTTATTAAGAAAACTAAATTGTGTTATGATTTAAATAGCATTTGTTTTTAGCTATCAAGTTGAGAGACAACACATTTTGATAAAATATTTGATTATAGAGATTGTAATTTAAATTTTAAAATTGCTATTTGTTTTTTTAAAAACAAATTTGTCACAAAATTATAATTTAAAATAAAACCAGAAATACGAGTCATTGATATAGGTTTWSAAATCAGTTATAAAAATAAAAACTTGTATTATTTTAACACATTATTTAAAATGATTGATGTCATCTAAAATTAACAGCAAAATGTGAATAATTAATTAACGACAAGTATAAAGTGTTATATTTTAATAATTATTATGTTAATTATAGATTAAAATTTTTATAACATGTAGTTATGCAAATTATTTATAAAATAAAATTTTTTAATATTTTAAATATATTAATATTCTCGAAAAATTAATTAAAACTTTCATTTTTTGATAATATATATTTTGCTTAAATTACATTTTAGTTTTAGTAAAACAAAATAATATTAGTAAAATAGAAATTCAAAAATAAATGATACAAAAAATTAATAGATTGTATTAATGACACATATGTACAATACATGACTTGAACATAATTTATTTAATATTCTGTAGATATAGTATTATATGTTTATTTAATAATTATTACAATTTAATATTATAGTATTAAATATAATAACATATAATAAAACTATGTTTAAAAAGCTTTACATTTTTACTTTACTTTTACTTAACATACATTTAAAACACTCATATCATTAATACTGTATTTTTCCTGTATTTAAGGTGTTTTATTAATAAAAACAGGGAGATTATGAACAATAAAATAAACAGTTATAAAAAATTTAATATTAAGTGGCTTGAAATAATACATAATAATCATTTATATTTGTTATTATTAATATTTTTATTGAATTTTATAACAGGTATTTAGTATTATATTCGTAGATTACATAATAAGATACTATATTTTAAAAATATATTTACATAACTTATTTTGTACGCTATATTGTTTGCACTTATGATATATAAATATAACATTAAGAAGCATAAAATTTCATGTAATAATTATAATATAACAGTACAACAGGTGATATGATTTTGTATTTAATAAAATTTACATCAATTATGAAAGCTATTTGAGAAAAATATATTTATATACTAAATAATGTGTTTAGGAGTATATATGTATACAATATTACCTATAAATTTATACAGAATATTACTTAAATATCACTTTTTCCTGTAAATAGAGGAACGCCTGTCTATCGCTAGTAGTCTATCGTCTCTCTCTCTCTCTCTCTCTCTCTCTCTCTCTCTCTCTCTCTCTCTCTCTCTCTCTCTCAAACTCTGACACTATAATTAATGTCTAAATTGATCTCAAGACAGTACATCTTAAGTGGTATACATTTAGACATATTCTTGATATTCASTCTATACAGTATACACTACGTACTGGTAATTGTTGAGAAAAGGAGACTATTTTTTGCGGTAAAAACTGACGATTCATGAGAGCACCCGAAGTCATACTAGTGTTGCTCTCATTTACTTTATTTTAGTCAAGTCTTAAAAATATACTATTTTTTAGTTTTTATCCTATAATAAAACACTGTTTGTCAATATACATAATAATTATTTGGTAAAATTTCAAGTATTTTTTTGCTAAACTAATTAAATTTGCAAAACTATATGTATATAATTTTATAAATTTCTGTCTCAACTTTAACCTCGAATTTGAATTGTTAAGAGTATTCACTAAAAGATTATAAATTTATATATAATTATTTTAATATTATTTTGTTTTGTTGTCTAATCTCGCAATAAAAACTTTTTTGTGTTATAATATTGAGTGACTATAAAAAAAGATTGAAAAATAAGTAGCATTTTTTTGTTAAACTCATTTATATGGCTTACTTATTACCCAAATCATGCAAACAATGTGTGTGTATATCAATATATGGCATAAATTTTATTGTCATTCAATAGCTCCCCAAACATAGGCAGTCATTCACTATGAATGGTCAATACAATGGCTGTGCCGGTGGGCACTCATACCATAAGTAGTTGTGATTTTTTTTCTCGTCATTTGCTTTTTATGTATTGCCTCTACTGATGGCGTAACAGATATAATAAGCCAACAAATATAATAAAAGTCGAAAAGTGTTGTTTAACACTTGACTTCAATATATGCAAAGCTGTGCAATTCAAAAAGCTCTCTCTCTCTCTCTCTCTCTCTCTCTCTCTCTCTCTCTCTCTCTCTCTCTCTCTCTCTCTTTCCGCTCACTCACTAATCTCTAAAATTTTTATTTAAGTTTTCCATTGATATGAAACTACAATTAAAGCATCAATTGGGAGCAATTATTTATTTTTAATATTATATACTAAATTAAATATAAAACAATTTCATTTTGGTTGAGTTTTTTCCCCTTAAAATAATATTTATATTATACAAAATATTTTGAAGAAAGAGGTTAGCAATTTAGCAAATAATAAAATATCATAATATGAAATGTCATAAATATTTAAACCCATACAAGTATGTACTGTTAAATTGAAATCTCACATATAATAAAATCCATTTAAAAACTATAAGATAAAAATTATTGTAACTTTTACTTAGCATTGCTATTAAATAAATTCTTATATCACTTTAAAAAAGTTGATAAAATGTTTTACACCGTCAATATTGTGGCGACTAATCTCTTCTCAGACTTGGGAAACACCAGTCAATGGCACAGGTATTGAGTGTCTGTTCACCGGGTGGTCACCCAATGACAGGGAATGGCACTCTTCTTCATACATAAAAGCATACCTTTCAACAAAAAACTGATAACATGTTTATAACTATTACTCGAAGTTATTTTTATGTTAACCACAACTATGTTTTTGTGTAATGTATATCATATATGTTTAGTACTGTTTATAATTTATATATAAATTTATATATTATATATTGTAAAATCTAGTTTAGTTTGTTATTTTAAAAAGTATTGAATTTTTTAATATCAATATTAAACGTGAGTTTTATAAATAAAAATAAAATCATACAAATGACAAAATTAAAAAAACAATTTTTATGCTATATTATTGAAAAAATATAATTAAAATTGTAATTATTTCTATGATAATTAAAAAATACAATTATAAAAATAAACAACAAAAACAATTGATTTAGTAATTTATTTKATTTTTTTAGATATGGTTTGTCTTATAAATTATATTAAAATATGTATTTATGTCAAAACTCAGATAACAAAAATGATTAATCATTAGATAAATAAAAAGATTAATCAATTATTTTTTTGAAATAATATAATAAATAATAAACTGTTATTATTTACCTCTTTCTTATTGATTAAGAAAATAAAATTAACATTTGTTTTGAATAAATGATAAATACTTATAATTAAAWATATATATAAATAATAATTTTTATGTATTATTTAATATGAATACAAAACATAGGAACCTCGGGATGCAAGGCATAGGAATTATGAATAATGGTCTCAATCCGTCAGATCTATCATCTTATGAGACAATAGTTGCGGGAGAGCCGGGTCTCACTGGTATTGGTCTATCAGTGTCACCATCATCAGCATCGGCACAATTGCCAGTCGATAACAATATGTTAACATCTGCTCCCCAGCTCTACGCACAGGACAAACTAAAAAAGTTGCCCTGTGCTCAGTTAAAGGGACTTAGTAAAGGACAAACACAGTTATGTCACATATATCAGGACCATATACCACATATAGGACAGGGAGCTAGACTTGGCATCGGTGAGTGTCAGTGGCAGTTCAAGAACAGGAGGTGGAACTGTTCCACTGTTGATGACTCATCTGTCTTCGGACAAGTGCTTACAATCGGTAAGTCTATGTGTTTATCAATAATAATAATAATACTTTTGTTTTTATCTCACAAATTATTTATGTATTAATACATTATTTTAGATCAATGACTTCTATATTACTTAAAGCCATTACTATATTTTTTTGTGAATATTTATTAAATACTTATAAATGAGAACAAATTAAATAATAATAAGATATTTAATTATTTTTATATTTTTTGGTTATATCGCTAAAACATTTTTTTGATGATTTCTTAATTAACAAATTAATTTTATCAAATTKACTGACAATTATCTTTATTTTTTGTCTATTTTTTATATTTTATTCATTTATTTTGGTAATTACATTATCAAATTACACATTTTAATAAAGTTTTTCCAAATATTTGAAATAAATAAAAGTAAATAATATTTAGTATAYAAAATAAATTGTTGTTATATAATATGATGTGTGCTAAATACTTAAATGTTGCTTATATTATACTGTATATATTAAGACAAAATTATCTTTATAACTATGTTTCAAATTAGATTTAAGATAAAAATTTTAATTTATTTTAAAGATTATAACATTTTTGAATAACTGTTTAATAACGTGATTGTTGGATAAAAMATGCATTTCTAATTTGATATAACTTGCAKTATATTATCAATTTTTAATTGACTTTTTTATTTAGAATTAATTAATCAAATATATAAATAAATATATTTAAAAATTAACAAAATTTATGATGATATTAAGTAAATTGAAAATAYARTTTGTTTATTATATAAATCTAATTATTGTCAGAAAGTGATAGAAATATTTTTTTAACATTAAACTTATTAATTGACAGAAAAATCGTTAAAGTCAATGAAACTCAAATTAATTAAACATCTAAACATAACAACAAATATATACCAAATTTAGTCATAAATAAATCATTAATTTTGTTTTTTCTTATTTATTTTGGCATCAAAAACAAGAAATACACAAAACTAAAGTTAATTTTCACTTTATTTAACACAAAACTTGATGTCGATTCAAAAAACATGCTAAAAATAAACAATTTTAGTTTTTATTAATTTTTAAAAACTAACTATAATTRTTATGTGTTATTGTTTGCATACAAACCTATAGCATATTTTGAGTATTAATAAAATATATAAAGTTACACAAAAAAAGATTTATTTTTAATAAAAACTAAATTTCAACAAATACTGTATTTTAATACTCATGACTAAGTAATAGTTTTGATTTTTTTGTTACAATAATCTTTAAATCACGAAATTTTAAATATCAATCAAACAATGACTTAAYCATTCATTCAATACAACATTTAGAGCATATTTKTCATTATTTTTATTTATTGAAATGTTTAGGCGTGGTTCACATATTACGTTCGCACTTATGAACTTTTAGACTTTAAGAACGATCGCATTTAGATAATACAGTATCTTATTTCTTGTGATGGGGGGGTAGCGGTTAGGGATAAGCGAACGTAATTTTTTTAAATGACTACATGCGAACAATTGCGAACATATCTAGATTTCTTAAAAAGTGCGAACGTAATATGTGAACCATAGCAATATGTTATAAAATACGATAAGATATGTGACACATGGCTTCATATTTTACTTACAAATATCAATATTTTGTTAKTTGTCAAAAAACTTCACATATAGTAAAAAATATTTTAAAATTTWGTAATATATTTATTATATATGATATTTATAAMAATTTATATMATACAACCAAATTTAATCTAATGRTCTTTTACATTTAGCAAATGATTATTATGCTATTAAACAATATATATATATAATATAAAACAATTTTTATACAATTACTTAAGATCATTACAAGCACTTGTTTTTTCTCTTTGAAAACTAGAGTTTGGATGTAATGATAATTTGATTAGTGGGTTATGTCAACAAATGGCCACAGATTGGCCATAAATGCCTAAAATTTTATTGCTTTCCCAATATATGACAATATAAGCTTATTTTCGGTCCATTGATTTATAGATAATAAGGTATTAATCGCTATTGAATTAAATTATATTTCTTAATAGTGAATGTTGTATAGAGAAAAATGCYRTAAATGTATTGTTTGCCAGATTTATGTTCACTCAGATACACAGTTTGTAWGACTATAATAGAGGGTACTATTGATGGATATACAGTATTTATAAATGCATAAAAGCGGTGACAGTTTTATGTTAGTATAATATAACAGCCCTCTTATATAACCATTTGGACCCGTTTTTAACATCTGTACCATAATATCAATCATTTTCATAACAATAACTGAGYAATAAAAACTTTATAAATATTTAATGATAAATAATTTTACAACAAAATGAATGTTTTATAATTRTTACTATAATTATATTTATAAAAAACTAATGTTATACAGTATGTTAACAATTATAATGAAGATTGACAATGAAATATTACATTTAAAATACAATTATATATTAAAGTGTCACATGTCATGTCATTAACTTAATTTAATGATGTAATTAGAGCTAATTTGTTAATATTTAAAAAWAWAWATATTTTATTAAATAATTTTAAAATACAAATTTAAAATAATAATTATATGCATATAATTTACTAAACAGAAACTATTAAATATAGTTGTATTTGATTRCTTATTCATATGTGTCAGTTTAAATTATATGCTAATTTAATAATACTGTATATTATAGTAAAATATGAATTTTAATATATAATGTAAAGMAAAAAATATAAGTAATATAAATTACATTAATATTTTAAGCTAAATTTACATATTATRYAGTGTTTACTTATTATTAGTAAATACTGTATATAAAATATACAGTATTGATCTATATGTACAGTATTATTAAGMTAATTTTATAATTTTTTTTACAATCAAATATTTTTATAAAATTAATTWCAATAATTTCSAAGTTTACAAATTTTTAAAACTCTTCCATTAATTACAAGTTTTTGTTATAAGTAATTTAAAACATTATTTCTATATAAAGTACTAATAGGTGTTGATGTTTGTTGTAAATAAAAATTRTAATATTGTTATCAAAAAATGTTTTAAAATATATGTTTATATTTGAAATTATTATATACAAGTTTTTCATTTATTAAGTTAGAATAATAAGTAAAAATTTAGTTGTTAAAATAGTTTATTTTTTAATTTATTATATAATAATAGTGATGATAATAATAATAACTTTTAATGCCTAAACACGAAATRAAAATCTAATGGAAAATATTTTTTTAGTCTAAACAACTCTTTTATGAAAACCGCTTCTATTATRATAAATATATACAGCATTACATCTCTCTCTCTCTCTCTCTCTCTCTCTCTCTCTCTCTCTCTCTCTCTCTCTCTCTCTCTCTCTCTCTCTCTCTCTCTCTCTCTCTCTCTCTCTCTCTCTCTCTCTCTATTTATTTATCTCTCTCTCACTTTCATATTTCTATTTACCATTTATTGACATAAAAATGTATAATGAGATCTATAAAAAACATCGTTTACCGTATAATATATAAGTTATTAATTTTACTAAAACGTTAATTTATATAATAKAAAGCATATATAAATACTAATATTATTCAATGCTTTCTAAAAGCTTAAAGCAAAGGTTCGTCGCTCTTTATAAAACTTAATTATAAATATAGTGTCCATAAGTTTATAATATTGTATATAATTTATTTTATTTTGTATTCAATATTATAATTWGTTATAAAGCATTGTTTACAAATCCTARCAGATTTTGGACCTAATATTACTTAWATATTATTATAAATAAAGGTTTTATCTTTATTTATCCGTTYACTAACAATAGAAAGTATTGTATTTTTGACAAATGTGGCATTTATTAATATATAATATTTATTAAATTAATTTTACTTAAAAATAATATATATCAAAAAACTTTATTATTTATTCTATACCCGCAACAAATTTCTCTAAAACTTTTAATTCTAATAACTTAATAAAATAATCAAATTTATATATTTAATAAAATTATAATGAATAAAATATAAAATAAAATATAAACTTTTACTGTATAAAATAACTGTAACTAAAAACTACTATTAATATTACTATAATAACTACGTTTTTATTGTGTCGCTAAACGGCTAGTTTAGCGATACTTTTGAGAGTGATTTTAATGTTCAATAGTGTCCARTATTTATACAAAAATTAATATTAAACTTTGATTTATGTCTAAAATTATATGTTTTTGTGTCCATACATTTCTATWTAATTTTGTCTATTTATTTCTGTTTTAATGGAAAATTAGTTTAAAGTAATATTTTTTACAATATTTATGTCCATAGTTTCACTGATGGACATCACTTGTAATTGTGTTGTGTGTGTGAGTGTGTGTGTGTGTATATTTAAAAACAAGTAGTGTTAAAAAGAGAAATTTATAAAATAAAATAGAAATTTCTAGATAAAATTTGTAAAAGAAACTTCTATTAATATTACTATGTTAATTTTGTTTTTCGATATATGTTATTATGTAACAATATATTGGTTTACAAGTAATAATTAAATATTAGTATTAATATTTTTATTATTATTTAAACAAAAATTAATTTATTTAATTATCTTTGATTTATATATATAATAAAATGATTATTAAAATTTTAGAAAATATTATTATTAAATAATATAATTATTTTACATATATTTATTTTGTTTAGTGTAAAGTTATGTTATATGAATAGTAGTATTGTTCATTATTTCTATATTATTTCAATAGCTATAGATATGGGGAGAATAACAATAAAGTTAAATTTCTATAGAAATTGTGTTGTGTGTGTGTATTATGTGTACAAAACATGACATCTTTTATTAAAAATTCATAAATTATAATTAATAGTATAATATCTATGTTTAAGAAAAGAAATAATATCATATACAGTAATTCAATGTACTYTATGTAACAAATCGTTTATAATTTATTGAAATTTGTACTTGATTAATTTTCTAGTAGCAATCTAATTTTAGAAATATATTTTATTTGGATCCATGTTTTA